TTTATTGTTATCAGGTGATTGAAAATGATAAAGAGAGGAACGGGAACAGAGAAGCATTGACAGCTTTAAGGAAGAGAGCCAGGACTACAAAAACTAGCATAAAGTCTCCTTTTGAGTCGATAATGAAGGATATTGGGAAGTCGGGATCAAGGACTGCTCCTTTAGTGAAAGAAATTTGTGGGACTTGTGGTAATCATGACGAGAAAGAGAAAACTTGGATGATGTTTCCAGGAAGTGATGTTTTTGCTTGCATTCCATTTCATGCTGCTCACACTATCTTGGATAAAGGTATATTTTTTTTAGTTTTTTTAGTTTTTTTAGTTAGAAAATATTGGGTTTTGATTGCAAGAGAATTATATGTTTATGATGGGTTTTAATTTGATGATTTGTCAATGTAGTGGAATTATTAATCGTGCTGGTTTAACGCATGCAATATGTTTTGGAAGTCAAGTTTAAGGCTATTACGTACCCCAGTAAAACTTGTTTTACCAAGTTTTTCGTTGGTTTAGTGTTTTTTTATTGTGCTCTTGTCTGATAAATTAGAGGTGCGAATAATTAAGTGGGTTTTCTTTGTCTTCTGGTTCTGTTTCTCTGCCGAGAACACGAGGGATTTTAGGAACATATGGTTTGCTTGACATTTAAATTGGATGTAGAAGACACGTGGGAGATCTTATTTTTTTGAGAAACTCGTATTTGAAGGTCTTATGTTGCCTATTCTCAATGAGGACTCATATGGTTTGTCCTATTGGGTCAAAACTTGTCCTATTGAGAGTGGATTTATGCCTTGCACCATTGCTCCAAGCTTGTTTTAGAACTTTGAACCCTATTTCAAGGAGGAACTATTGCTTCATTTATACAATGTACTTGGACAAGTATGATTTGTGAAGTGTTCATCATGTGATGCTCTGCATAATGTGATGTTCACTTGATTTGAGTTTTTTTCTTCATTGAGAGAGAATATGCAAATTGTTGCAAGGTGTCTCAATAAACTATTATTTTCAGTTTTTGTGCTTGGTGGAGAAATTCCGTTGATTTCAACATGTTATGGTTAGCCTCATGCTTGAAACTTTGCATGCTAAATCTCAAATGAAATATAAAAGCTACCTTCAATTGATGAAGATTATGAAACTACGATTCCTGGAACATGATTGATCATTGATATAGACTCTTACCGTACTATATTTTTCTTTCAGCAAATTTCAATGACAATTCCTTAATCTTGTGTTTGCTGTGGCTCAGATCAAGAACGGCTTGAATATGAAGCAAAAAAACTGCAAAGCTATGTAAAGGAAAAGACCCTTCTAATTTCAGAAAAAGGTGTGCTTGCTGACATGATTAGCCCTGGTGTGCTTAGGTCCTTAGTAACCTTAACAGACAAACCAAAGTAAACTAGGCTTGTAAACTTAACGTGACCTGTTCAATAATTGTTTTGCAAATGCTTTGTGTTCCCTATGTCGTTTACTTTTCCATGTTCAGTTTCAACTCGGACAAGGATTGAGCTTTATTTCAAATTATGTGCCATTATTTGGAGTGTTCATATTTAGCTTCAGTTAAATTGTATGGTGGCTTCCAGAATTCCTTTCTTCTGAGTATTGTATCCTGCTAGGCCACCAACTGCTGCATTCATCTTAATATCTTGATGGTCCAGCTGGGAATATGCAAATGTACATTTCATCCTAATTTCATTTGACTTTATTTCTGTAATCAAGTAAATTATGAACATATTATATGCTTCAACACATGGACTATTAAAAATGAATGGTGTATTATACTTCAGTTTTAAAATGTTAGAGAAATAAAAATGGGTTCGCGTGTTTTGCAGTGGGTGTCCCCCCCCCCTCTCTCTGAAAACTTAGCATGCGTAAGTGCAGATATTGCATCATGATAGTTTAGGGAAAAACTCTTTTTCTGGTTTGGTCACTGAAGACGTTACTTAATAGTTCTGATATGAACTCGTATGACATTTTTGTTGATCTATAATGGCTGTGATGATGCCCCCCATATACCTTTCTGTTAAATCTATAATTGTTTCTCCTATATGATAGATAACAGGACCAAGTTATGGCTTTTTTTTTTTATATATAATTTTAACTCATGTTTTCCAATTTCATTGTTTGAAATTTGATTTAATTAAATTTTAGCCTCTGTAATTTATTTTTTTATAGGATTTTTCACTTATTTTAAAAATAACTCGGATTATTTCGGGTTTTTTTTATATATATTTTTACTGGATTTATCTTTTTGAAAAGATTTTTTTAAATTAAATTTAGTTGATTGCCTGATATTTATTTTTTTTAATTTTTTTATCTAATATATTGCTATCTTTATTTATTTTATTTATTTTAGTAGCCTATAAGGTTAAACAAAAACATTTATTTCGCAGCTTGTTGTGAGGTAAAAGTTTATCTTTTTAAACTCATGTTTTTTTTAATATTTCATTTATTTGAAGATCAGTTTTTTTTTTATGATTTCTATATAGTTTTTCACTTATTTTAAAAATCACAAGGGTTATCTCATATCTTTCTATTTATTCTTTATTGTTATTTTAATCATAATATTAAATTGATGGTCAATGGTCTAGTCAGTTAAATTACTCAAGTTGAATTTATATTATATTTTGTTTTTTTTAATATTTTATTTATTTGAAGATCAGTTTTTTTTTATGATTTCTATATAGTTTTTCACTTATTTTAAAAATCACAAGGGTTATCTCATATCTTTCTATTTATTCTTTATTGTTATTTTAATCATAATATTAAATTGATGGTCAATGGTCTAGTCAGTTAAATTACTCAAGTTGAATTTATATTATATTTTAAAAAATTGGTCTTAGTTGTGTCATAACAGAAGCCACCATTTTAGATTTGATGGAGTTATTTTTTTTTTATATGAAAGTGTTTTTTCCCATTTCAAGCCTCCAATATTTGGTTAGTTTGAATAAAGTTTCTAATTTACTTCAATATGAATTTCATGGTATTGTGGTATATTTATGTTCCAAATAAAGAATTTTTACAAATTAAACATGATTGATTGTGGTCAATTTAATGTATTAGCTTTTTAATTTATTTTTTTAAATACCATCTAGTATATGACCATGTCAATGTTTTAAATTTTTTATATCCATTATAAAAATTATAATTTGATACATGATGTAATTAATAAATTTTAAAAAAATATTTTAATATATTTCAAAATAAAAAAAATACTGCTAACATGAAATCTAAAACATCAAAAGCCTATGTATAATGGACTAACAACAACTGAGGTATAGGGCCAGACTAAACTACGCCCAGTTAGAGCCACTAGACCCTACCTAGAAATATTATCAGCCCAACATGACCCAAAATCAATTAAAATCTGACGGCTAGGATTAGCTTTCCGATACATCAATAAAAAATAGGGCATGCCGCCTCATGGTAATAAGCCTTCGAGAAGAGAGGGAGCCGTCTTCAGGCATCTTGTGCCACAACAATGGGTGAGCAAGCATTCATCTCCTTCCAAAAACACTCTTAGATTCTGCTTTGTTTCGACCACCTTTTCGTTTTCAATCCTCAGCGCTCTGTGTTGTTTCTGAGATCTTGTTTGTTTATTTGGTTAGAAAATGAGATTGATTTGTTTTTAGCATGCAATTTGATGAACTTCATATTTTTGATGATATCATCGAACTACATGATTGATGGGGTTCAGTTAGCTTTTTAAACCATGTCGAAAACAGAAGGTTTTAGACACGGTTCGCGATTTAATCACTGATTTTTTCATGCACTTGAAATATGAAATGCCCTCATCAAGTGGCGTTGCTTTCTTTCTTTCTTTTGGCATTTTTCTGGAGACTACTAGATGGAGAATAGAAACGCGGGGTTTGGTTATAATTTGTGATTTTTGAATTAACGATGAGTGTGGTGATGTATAGGGGCTTCCAAGTATGTTTCGGAGCTGTGGTAGTTTCATAATCTTCAGCAATCAAATGTAGCTTTTATATGTCATTTGAGATTTAACATGCAAAGTTTCAAGCATGAGGCTAACCATAACATGTTTTCAACGGGTTTCTCCATGAAGCACAAAAACTGAAAATAATAGTTTATTGAGAAACCTTGCAACAATTTGCATATTCTCTCTCAATGGAGAAAAAAACTAAAATCAAGTGAACATAGAGCATCACATGATGAACACTTCACAAATCAAGTAGAAATAAAAAGAAAAGAAAAGAAAAACTCACCTGGGGTATTTATTTTTATCTAGTGAAGATAAGCCATCCATATTATGCAGAATAAACACTTCACAAATCAAGTAGTTTAATCAAGTGAATATAAGCTCATATTATGTAGAGCATTATATGATCAATATTTCACAAATTAGACTTGTCCAAGTGCAATATATGTGTTTTTTATGAACAAGAAAAATCATATAAATATTAGATTAAATGTTACATATAAACCTTTTCTCACGAAGCAATAGTTTCTCCTTGAAATAGGGTTCAAAGTTCTAAAACAAGTTAGGAGTATTGGTGCAATGTATAAATTCATTCTTTTACTAACTCCAAAAATAGAAAAATATGCTATCTTTTGACCTAATAGGACAATTCATATCAATTTTTGTTGAGAATATACAACATAAGACCTAATAATAAAAAAGTAAGATCTCCCAGGTGTCTTCTTTAAATGTCAAGCAAACCATATAACCATATGTTCTAAAGTCGCCGAGAACACGAACCACAAGACAAACAAAACCCACTTAATTAGCCGCCCCTCTAATTTATCAGATGAGCACAAATAAAATGGACGAAGGAATGCAGCCATTCCAACAAAGCTTAATCGAGCTCGAAAACGAAGCCGAGCATCTCCTATTAGCTCGAAATCAGGTACACTTTAAAACCTTAAAAAAATATCTTTGCAAATTATCCTTTCCAAGAATTCACTTTGTTTATTGTTATCAGGTGATTGAAAATGATAAAGAGAGGAACGGGAACAGAGAAGCATTGACAGCTTTAAGGAAGAGAGCCAGGACTACAAAAACTAGCATAAAGTCTCCTTTTGAGTCGATAATGAAGGATATTGGGAAGTCGGGATCAAGGACTGCTCCTTTAGTGAAAGAAATTTGTGGGACTTGTGGTAATCATGACGAGAAAGAGAAAACTTGGATGATGTTTCCAGGAAGTGATGTTTTTGCTTGCATTCCATTTCATGCTACTCACACTATCTTGGACAAATGTATTTGTTTTTTCAGTTTTTTAGTTAGAAAATATTGGGTTTTGATTGCAAGAGAATTACATGTTTATGATGGGTTTTAATTTGATGATTTGTCAATGTAGTGGAATTATTAATCGTGCTGGTTTAACGCATGCAATATGTTTTGGAAGTCAAGTTTAAGGCTATTACGTACCCCAGTAAAACTTGTTTTACCAAGTTTTCCGTTGGTTTAGTGTTTTTTATTTGTGCTCTTGTCTGATAAATTAGAGTTGTGAATAATTAAGTGGGTTTTCTTTGTCTTCTGGTTCTGTTTCTCTGCCGAGAACACGAGGGATTTTAGGAACATATGGTTTGCTTGACATTTAAATTGGATGTAGAAGACACGTGGGAGATCTTATTTTTATGAGAAACTCGTATTTGAAGGTCTTATATTGCCTATTCTCAATGAGGACTCATATGGTTTGTCCTATTGGGTCAAAAGATAGGGTATTTTTCTGTTTTTGGAGTTAGCAGATTGAGAGTGAATTTATACATTGCTCCAATGCTCCTAGCTTGCTTTAGAACTTGGAACTCTATTTCAAGGAGGAACTATTGCTTCATGAGAAAAGGTTTATATGTAGACATTTGATCTGATATTTATATGATTTTTCTTGTTCTTGAAAAACCTGTATAATGTACCTGGACAAGTATGATTTGTGAAGTGTTGATCATGTGATGCTCTGCATCTGCATAATATGGATGGTCTTCACTAAATTAAACTACTTGATTTGTGAAGTGTTCATTCTGAATAATGTGGATGTCTTTATCTTCACTAAATTAAACTACTTGATTTGTAAAGTGTTCATTCTGAATAATGTGGATGTCTTATATTCACTAGATAAAGACTACAACCCAGTGAGTGCCCCCCTCCCTTTTTCTACCTGTTTTGAGAGAGAATATGCAAATTGTTGCAAGGTAGTGTCTCAACAACCTATTATTTTCAGTTTTTTGGGCTTCATGGAGAAATTCCGTTGAAAACATGTTATTGGTTAGCCTCATGCTTGGAACTTTGCATGTTAAATCTCAAATGACATATAAAAGCTACCCCTTCAATTGATGAAGATTATGGAACTACGATACCTGGGACATGATTGATCATTGATATAGACTATTGCCGTACTATATTTTTCTTTCAGCAAATTTCAATGACAATTCCTTAATCTTGTGTTTGCTGTGGCGCAGATCAAGAAAGGCTTGAATATGAAGCAAAAAAACTTCAAAGCTATGTAAAGGAAAAGACCTTTCTTATTTCAGAAAAAGGTGTGCTCGCTGACATGATTAGCCCGGGTGTGCTTAGGTCCTTAGTAACCTTAACAGACAAACCAAAGTAAACTAGGCTTGTAAACTTAACCTTGCCTGTTCAATAATGGTTTCGCAAATGCTGTGTGTTGTCTCTAGTTTATCTTTCCATGTTCAGTTACAACTCGGACAAGAATTGAGCTGTATTTCAAATTACTTGGAGTGTTCATATTTAGCTTCAGTTAAATGTTATGGTGGCTTCCAGAATTCCTTTCTTCTGTGTATTGTATCTTGCCAAGGCCACCGACTTCCGCTTTCATCTTAATATTGGATTAGATCATGATGGTCCAGCTGGGAAAATGCAATTGTATATTTCATCCTAATCTCATTCAACTTCATTTCTTGTAATCAAGTAAATTATGAACATATTAACATATGGACTATTAAAAAGAAAAATGAATGGTGTGTTGTTGTTGATATCTCTTTAAAGCTTGAGTGCATGCAACTTCAGTTTTAAAATGTTAGAGAAATAATAATGGGTTCGCTTGTTTAGCAATGGGTGTTCCCCTCTGCTTCCCCCCTCTTCTATCTGAAAACAAACTTAGCATGCGGAAAAAACTCTTTTTCTGGTTTGGTCACTGATGGCCACACTTGTTAGTTCTGCTGTGAGCTCGGATAACATTTTTGTTGATCTATAATGGCTGTGATGATGCCCCCATGTAGCGCTCTGTTAAATCTATAAATTTTCCTCCTATATGACAGATAACGGGAACAAGTTACGGTGTTTTTTTTTCTGGAGTTTCTTGTATGTCCAATAGGGTCATTGCCTGGTTCAGTGACAAAAGGATTGGTCAGAATAAAACTTGAAAGCAGCCAACTGCGGGATAAAACTCTCCATCTCCTATTATTATCACCCTGTTTGGGGTTAAAATTTATTTATTTTGTTTGAAATTATATGTTTTTAAATTATTTTTAAAAATAATTTAAAAATAAAAATAAAAATTAATTTCTACTGTAATTGTAATTTTAACTACTTGCTCCGCGAATTGGATGTCAGAAAAGAAAGTGGGGACCAGATGACTTTAAGAAGACTTTAACATGGATTCCGCGCAGCTGTACGCAAATTGGGTACCCCCCCCGCCCCCCCCACTCCGGTTTACTTTCTTTTCTTTTTTGTCTTCTCCGTTTTTTTTTTTTTGTCTCTTCCCATCTAGTACACTGACATGACCCTGACTTATCAACAACGAAGTACTGTACAAATCTGTGCCAACCTCTTTCTTATCTGTATCCTGCAAGATGAGCCTATCTCTAGGGCATTTCGGATGCTCATATGCTGAATTTGTGATTAATTGCTCTATGTATCATATCTTGATAATTCTGGAATTTGGAAATTGATTTCACTACCTATGTATCTTGATTATTCAGCTAGTTTGAAACTTAATGACGACAGTTTGGTTTTGGGGATAAATGTTAGCATCCATCTCTTCCTTTGCGCCTCGCTTCGAGGGCGAGGGCTTCCGGGATAGAAATCTCGAACTTCCAATGACAAAGATGCGGTTCCAGTCTTGAAAGCAGGTGTGGCATCCGCCTGATTTAATGATGTCTTCGAGTTTTCCTCCCATAATTCCATTTTAGGATGGAACATAATTGGAGAACTTTTGTGGCATGTCCATGTATTTACGTAAACATAATTTAGAACTACATTGATCTCATTCTTATTGTCGTAGAAAATGAGATAAACATGAGATTCTTAGTTAAATAGTTGGTCTGTTATCGATTATCATAACACGCGCGCGCGCGCACATATAAATATATATATATAGCTGGTCTGATAAACCAATTACCAGTCGAACCAACCATCAACCTGATGAATATAGCAACCTTTTCTACCGTGACAGTACCGTTTTACATGTACAAGCTATGAATTTCCCTAACCGGTGGAAGAACCTCTTTTTTTATGAAACACTTGCATTACTTGTTGTTTTCGCGCATAATTTAATGGAAGCGTTCATGAAGCGGTCAAACCAAATACCCAGAGACACCAAAAGTCAGAAGATCCGTGGGAGTTGTATGCTTCTGTTTGTTTGTTTTTTACCGGCAGGAAACGGGTTCTGTTGTACTTGTAGGAAATTTGGATTCATTATATTGCAGGCAAGCACAATTACCGTATCATAAGTAAAACATGATTGCTGATTAATATCATGGAAGGTGCTCGCGTCTAACTTTTAAAGAATACAACTGTGGTTTCTGGTAAGCCTCTATTGCTTCCCTTACCCATGCTGAGACGAAGCTGTTTGAAAATATAGAAATTTTGAAACTTCCGTTCCTCATATATGATGCTGCTGGTTACAGTGACAGAACGAAACTAATTTCTCTTTTTTTGATTGAAAGTGTCAGCATGAACACCATCATTGTCTTTTTTTAGATAATGATAGCACACGTTGCTGAAGATTCAATATTACTGAAGATGAAGTTACCCTCCTTCAAGGCAATTTCACCTCTATATATTTGGCAGCTAACTAATGGTGTTACACACACACACACACACACACACACATTTGTCCTCTTGGTTTAAGTTTAGGAAGATCATCCATGCCCAAACCGACAAAAAACTTTACTTCTCAGTCTCCACATGGATTTGAATAACAAATGATAAAGAGTAAACCTTCTTTCTACACCTGAGTGAGAAATATTAGGATATGTTATATATCGTAGATTATTATTCGTTCATTTCTGTGTTTGAAGGGTTTTAAGACCTTGGACGCAGAAGTCTTGGACAGCATAACGTCCGTTCTGTTGAACAGGCCAGCAAGTCTACTATACTCCGTAACTTTCTGCAGAGATATTAACCTGAAATTACAGAAAACAAATTGCCAAATTAGAAAGAAAAGAGAGAAGCAATTGGGAACTGAAAAGGGGTCATGAATGGCACAAATGGACCTTAGAAGGACAATAGATGGAAATAATGTGAAAATCTTAAAAGTTTTGATTTTATTTCTTTAAAATTATCACTTGAAAAGGTTTTGGTGAATTAACATACTTTTACCTTATTATGTTTCAGTAACGTGATATTTATTAACTAAATATAATTTTTTCTAAATGCGGTAAAATAGTTGTCGAACTTCAAAAGCACAATAACTTAACAAATTGCGTTCAAAAGCTTGACATGTTGAGAAATTTAAATTCATTCCTAGCTTGCAGAACATAAATAAACACAACTTCTCTTTCTCTTAAAACCAATGTCCACAACCCTCCTCTCTTTAACCAAAAAAAAAACCCAACAATTACTTCTTTTTTTTGTTTTTAAAACACCAAAAACTCGAACCCATCTTACCATCCAAGCATCCTGTGATATTTTCCTCTTCAAGATCCGCTGCTTTTTCCACCATAACACTTTCTAGTGCTACAAATAAGTTAAACGTATCACATTTCAATTAAATATATGAGTTTTATATTTCATATGTTTTGTTTAGTTGAAATAAAATTATTATTTAAGGTTTAGTTTATATTTAAAGTTATTGAATTAATAATAAATTAACTATGAATACCATCAATTATAAATGATTTGATATAGATGAACATAAAAATAACATCAATTAATTAGGAATTAATTATTTCAATGATTAATGTGTTGAGTTGAATTTTAGATAATTTATCGAATTAGGGATTTTGTGTGAATTGGTTGGAATGATTAATGTGTTAAGTTGAATTTTAGATAATTTATCGAATTAGGGATTTTGTGTGAATTGGTTGGAATTGACTAATAATATTATGAATTACACTCGATGATCATCATGTAATAGAACATGAATGAGGTAGAGTTCTGATGAATTACATATTGCATAGAATTGTGGATAAGTCAAATTTAATAATTTCTTTAAATTGTTTGAATTTGCTATGAATTTGGGTTATACTTTATATAATTGAGCATGAAAATATCAATTGGATCTAATATCATGAAATACTTTTAATTTTGGTAAAGTATGTGCAACATTGAATCATAGGATTTGTTTTTTAATTTGCTATAAATTTGGCTATTAGAGTTGAAATAATGCATTTTAGTTAAAATTATGTACAATTAACTGGAATCAAATTTGTTTCTTTTTTTTTTGTTACATAATGTCCTATAATATATTTATGGTATGTCATTATGGTGATATTATTGTTTTCGATATGAACAATAATATCACATACAATAATGAGAGTAATTTATTGTTAAATGATATTTAGACATGTCATATGTAGAAATGAAAAAAAACTATTTATTATGGACTTGAGTGAAATTATATTGATATTAATATTGAAATAACTTGAAAGTGTAAAATTAAACAGCATTAGTATTATCATGTACTAATTATAGATGATGACGGTTTTAAAACAATGATTAATTTTTTCATCAGAGTAGATTGAATATCATTATATTATATGTGAGTGGTTAATCAAATTATTTATATGAATTAATTCCTGATTGAATATATATAAATACATTACAATTTACAAATTCTTTAAAGTTAGTTAATAGAAGGAGAAACAATTTAATGTCGAATGACTTGAACAAGAACTAAAAGAAAAGTTAGCACTATGTTATAATGGTGATATTCAATATGGTAATATGATAACTAATATTTTAAAATAATTTAATCTTGTTTTTAAAGGCGTTCGTGTAATGCTTGTGATGTAGTCGAGCTTGAGATAATAAGTGATTTTAAATATTAAGGTTTGAATCTACCACAACTACATAATGTTCTATCAAAAAAATTATATAGAAGACCTAACAAATATATTTATGAATTAGTAAGACATATATAGGTCCAAAGAAGGTCTTGCTACACTAGACCAAAATGATGGCTTAACAAAACCATAACTTATTAATCTGGACATTAAATTATAGTTAAATTTTTACAAGAGTTTTAAAAGGATATTTTCCTTATAATAGCCCTTATATGCTATATAGACTATCAAATCTTAAGATATCAAAATTCTCACCTCAAGGTCTTATTTTGGGCAGTTTTGTTATTTATCTTGTTTTTCTTGTTTTTTTTATTTTGTTTTGTTTTTAAGGTTATTTTCTTGGCATTTTTAAATTTTTATTTTTTTCATAGTTATTGTAGGTTTACTAGCCTATTTAAGATTTTATAAACTTTCTAAGGATGCAAACTTGATCGGTATTATTTATAGAAAAAATAAAGTAGTTAATTTAATGTTCACATCTA